GTCCAAACTAAGATGACAGACTATTTTAAATAAAGTATAAATATGTATAGTATAAAAATTAAATTATATTTAATAAGTATGTATAATAATAATAATAATAATTTAATATAATACGTAAATATATATAAAATAATGTAAAAATAATGATATGTTTGATAAATAATTAAAATTTTGTTTTTTTTTAAACCCTCTCTATTACGAAAACTCTCTATAACGAAAGAAATCTCTTGGTCCCTTCAGATTCGTTATAAAGAGTTTTGACTGTATATAAATTAAAGCAAATTAAACGAAATATGTACGGTAAATTATTTGATACTCACTCAGGTCCTTTACGAGTCCTGATATGTTCTCAAATCTTGATGTATTAAATTCTGCACTGCCGTAGCAAGTCTCCCAGTTGTCATCGATTTCTAGTGTACCTATGGGAAATCCATGATCGATGATCTCTCGAGCAAAATTTCGAACTATGGACGTGTCTATATCAACCTTATATCTAGCCCAAGTGGACCATATTGGATACTTTATTACGTATGGATCAGGTATTGACGACGGCATACCAAGGAAATCTTTAATAGCTCTTTCGTGCGCTACTCGAGCGTTTTTGTATTTACATACTCGATATTGCATGGTATTTCTAACTTTTCGATAGGGATCTACAACTTTAGCCGTAAAACACATTTTACCAGGTCGTGGACCATTTATATCTAGAAATAGAGCGACAGACTCGTCAATGTGAATATAAAATCCGTCCGAGTTGAAAAAATATGACTCAACGACCTAAAACAAATAAAATAAAAATATATCTTTTATCATATTTAGTCCATTCGGTAGCTACTTTAGATCATTACTATGCGAAAAATAAGAAAAACATATATGACTTATAATCATGATAAATATTAAATAATAATTTATTTACCTTAAATAGTTATAATTTAATACTCACTGCTTGACTGTCTACATTTCTTGTTACAAATGGCTTATCCGTTAAGTTAAGTTTATTCAGTGGCCAATACTGATAAGTCGTTTCCGCTCCACCGTACCAAGAACTGTCCCCCAAATCGACACAAAACTGCAAAACATCATTCATCGATTGAGCTACTTGCTCATAATTCTGGCATTCTTGCTTCTCTGATGGTGAAAAATAACGCAAATAGTTTTCATTGCTTCTTGTGTTTGTTGTACAAATACTCAGATCTTTATCAATACAATCTTCATAGAAATTAAACCTCAGGTTTTTTTCAGTGGTTAATTCTAAAATAAAATATATTCATACAATGATAAATAACTTGTGTTCATCAAGCATAGAATAAATTATTGTAATTAAAAGTAATTATTTTATAATATTCAGTAATTACTTCCATGTTCAACTTGCAATTTATTTTCACTATCTGAGAATAAAACAATATGCTTTGACCCCAGACACACTGATGAAAATGTCAATGTAATCAAATAGAATACTAAAAATGAAAAAAAAGTATTTAAAAATATTATGATCATATTTATTACTTAAATTATACAAATTAAAATGCTTAATACATGATAATATTATGCTTAAATTTAAGTTGTAAAAATTGTTACATAATATGCTTATGTTTACCTACTCGTATGTTATTAACTGAATAATTATTAATTATTAAAATGTAATACAACCATACAAGTAATTGTATGGCAGTAGTTTGCATTTGTTTATCATAATAAATACGTCTAATTATTACTATTAAAAAGTTTTTGATTAAAAATAATTAGATAGTATTTATCTCGAACATTTTTGTAATAATTATTGCAAATAAAAAAATGAATTTTTCCATTTAGCTCCTTTTATAAATTTAAAATATAAAATATTATATCGTAATTATTTAATTTAAGTTAAAAATATATTTACTTGAAATACGTTAATATAGTGTGTCTATTCAGAGCCTTACTTTCTATTTTTAAAGTATTAAATTGGTATTAGAAATTTAATGAGAAATAAATTTGAATTACTCAAATGAGATAATAAGTAGGTACCTACTGAGAACTAATGAATTGCTGTAAAATGTCAATCACGTTAAGTGCCAAATTCTAAGGGAATATCGTCACTAAAAAAATAAAAAATACTGGATATTGTAGGAATTTATATGTATTATATATTATACGTTAATGTTAGGTACCTAACTCGTAACCTAAGGATTATAAAAAAATTTCCTTTGACATTTCAATTGTATAATAAAATGTAAATAGTTGCATAAATAAACAGCTATGTATAGATCTATTAGAGCTTATTCAAACCCAATATTAAAATAATTATTTTTATAAAATACGTAATATTATTATATAATTACCCAACAAGTTTGTCATATTTCTCCGTTTCAATAGCATCGTAATGGTGGTGCTAACGGAGCATAGGATAATAATTTTAAAATAAGGTTTCTTCAGTCAAGTTGTGTTGATTATAAAATGTTTATAGTTTAAGTATTGTATTATATAATTTATAGTAAAATTGAATTTGTGATAAATTGATGAGTTCAATAATACTACGAAAATATATATACGTCATAATAGATTACCTATATATTATATTTTATTCGTACACAAGATTCTTCATTCAATTATTGAAATGTTGAAGTATTTTGTTTACTTGTGTGTTAATCATTAAAGTTGCATAACTAAAGAGTTAAATGCACTAGATTGTGAAACAAAAAAAAAGGAATAAACAGGAAATGGTGGCTGAACGGCAGACAGTCACTGTACTTCACACATTTTAACACACAAACAAATAAGTCTTACGCTCTTCTATAGAGTAATAAATTATAATAAAAAGTGTATAATTATTTTTTTTCATTTCAAACGTTTTATGATAAGCCCCTACATTTGAAAAATTAGAATTATAAGCAGAAACTTGTCTGCAATGTGATATGACTGTCAACATGTAAAATTAAAATGTAATTCGTTACTTCCGCGTTAATTAAAAATCAATCGAGTACTGTAGAGTACCCACTTTTGCACCTTTTTAACACTGTTTATAAGATAACTGATCATTAATAATTGTTCATTTTATTTTCGATAATATTTTAAGTCAACAATTCACACCAAACATTACCTGAAATATTATTTAATAAGAAAACGGAATCGATTGAAATATGTAATAAAATAAAATAAATTACATTAACTTCTCAAACATAAAATGTGATTCTTTAATACATAGCGTTAATTAAAAATCAATTAAGTTAAGTTAGTAGTTATAAATTAACAAAAAACAAAACATACCTAGACAAGTTACAAAGTTAAAAAAAAATTATAATTTTGTTCACCTAGGTAACTTCAAATTTTAAACTCGATTATGACCAGCCTGGGAATTTGTTCAATAGTGATCAATAATTGTGTAAAAAGTTTGCAGATTTGAAATCTTGACTTCAACAATCTAAATCGCTTAACAATGTGGTATAATTCTGATAACCTGCTAGGTTTTATTGATCAAAACAATTTATAAACAGTGATTTTTTTTTTTGTAACTATCTGCTTCTAAGTAGCTGACTAAAATCTATCTATACTGGCCACAATACAAACCAAAAAAGACAATGCTTCTAATGTTTAATATTCGCAGTACAAACAGATTGTTGTAATAGTTCGTTAGTTTATGTTTAGCGACATATGTACCGCGGCACATGTACCTAGAGTCCTAGACACTTCAAGAAAAAGAACGGTTACTAAGTTTGATTCTTTACATTTTTGTGATACTAAATGGCACAGAAGATGAACGAAAAGTCGTTGGACAATGCCAATGAGCAACGGTCCGTGATGGTTGACTCGCTGCAAGATTTGGCATTCGATGGTGGGATGACGAAGGTCGGTTCCCAGTTGCGGCGTGCCACGTCATCACCGGAGCTCAGGACTGAATCGCCAACTTTTCATCACGTCGTAGCAGAGACCGACCCGTCGCCCGTGCCAACCTATCACGAGACTGCAGAGTTGGACGGCGCCGACGTGGCCATTTCAACATTCTTGGAACTTGATCACCGCTATTTATTCATCGAAGCGCTGGACTTGGCTGTAGACCGGAGAATCAAAGCTGTCTCCGAGTCACCACTACGACGCACACTAGCTAGAAATTTCCAGTCGTCGCCGGAGCTAAGGCTTCTGTCTCCGGTATATGGCGGATTGAATACCGTCCCGTGCGTGTCAGAAGAAGTCCCAAGTAAAGCAACACGAAGATCGCTCTGGAAGAGGTCCAAAAAATGCTTGTGGAAATCATTAGTGAATGTTGCTCGCAGAATATGTTTCTGCCGTAGTTTTGAAGACGTGGAGTAATTTCATCAACTTTCACCTTCACCCCACACTCATGTATTACCAGCTACCACAATCAACCACCCGCCAACCTGTAGTATTTGGCGTACCATTAGACGTGTCAGGCCGGTCGAAACGCACCACCTACTGTGATACGTCCTACTCCGTTTGTCAAGTTTATCGTCTTACAAGTCGACGTCTTATGACGTTCTATTCTGGTACTGCAAAAACTGCAGGTTGGCGGCGGCTGACCGTGGTAACTATAGTAACTGGTAACACGAGCGTGAAGGGAGAATTTTGTTTTCCATGTCTACAAAATAAACAAATTATGCATGCAGCATTCAGCAAGCTCTTTCACACATTTTTTTAACTTCTTCAACACTAGCAATTTTTCGCGGAATTTCTGTTGGCACCGGCAGAACAGCCTTCACTCAGCTTTACACTGCAGGTGAGAGATCCTTAGCTCTGGTGACAACTGGAATAACTGCAAGTTCGTTCCGTAACAGTGACACCTCATATTACATCTGTAATTTTTCGATCCACGGCCCAATCCTAGTGCATCGAGCGGTGGTAAGGTTGCAAGGATTTCGGCTTGTCAGTTTGGATGCCATCCTTATCTCTACAATCAAGTGAAAGAATGAGGCACTAGTCGACCTTTACTACACCGCCCGGTGAGACAATTCTAAGCTCTGTCGATGACTGTGTACACTTGGAACGTCCACGCCGCCACGGTGACCTGACAGCCGTGATCATCAACTGTCGAATATCTATCGTGCAACTCAAGAACGACCATTTTTTGGAGTACCATTGAGCGTGCCAGGCCGATTGAAACACGCCTCACCTGTTGTGTTCGCAACATCCTTCTCCGTTTGACAACTTCGTCTTTCTGCAAATTCTATGTTTTTCGTCGACTCCGTTTGACAAAATTGTCATTCTGCTAGTCCGACAAGTGATGAATAGTTATTGTTGTGATATTGGACGTGCCAGGTCAGTCGGAACACGCCGCTTGTTGTTTGCCGGAAAATTGTTTCGGCTCTGTTTGTCAAGTTTGTCCATTCTGTGACCCCAAAGTTTTTCGTAGTTTGAGGTAGAAGGAAATCATATTTTTTTATGCCAAAAATACAAGAGTTGAATCATTTATATATTATAATTTATTAATTTATAAAATAAAACTGTTGAATAATCAATTTATAATTTTGTTATTTTGTTTATTTAAAATTTTAAAAAAAACAATGACCATTTCAGATGAGACTGGTGAGAGAGAGATCCAACGTGATGAAGATTAAATTGCATCACATTTTTATATTATTGACAAGACAATATTATGTGCAAGTATAACATTATGGTTATCGTCTCAAGGACTACTCTACTTGATTTTAAAAAACATTTCGGTCTTATATTGTATGAAAAAATTAGTATCTATAAATAAATTCGATATTCCAAACTCAAGTTTAGTTGTTCAGTTTAAGTAAATAAGTATTTTACATTTCAGAACTACATCGATGTACCATGATTTAAGTTACAAATTATTCGGTAGTATAATATAATTATGTTGTATTAGGTATATAGGAAAAAATGTGTTAAGTAAAAATAATATTGCTATTATTAGGTATTTTATTTAAACTTTACTTTTAAACGCTATGTCTAATCTTGGTTGACTAATCAATAAACAGCCGAATCTATGATAGCTATGGGACTTGTTATTTTCATGGCAGTTTCGAATAACATGTATAGGAGTGCTCTAAAGATTTTAGAAAATCCTCATTTTAAAGATAGTCTCACTTAGTTATTTTGTTTCGAAAAATGGAAATCTTATATATATTATTTAATTTATAGGTATTAGGTATATAAATATAAATTTTTGTGTTCAGGTAAATCAAAAATATGTGCGAAAATCAAGAAGTGGCAATTCATAAAAGTATTCATTGTAATTGTATTCATTAAAGGTTTGTATTATATAGTTCGACTGAAACCAAACAGAAAACGATAGAAAGATAGACTGGGTAAATTAAACTTGAGCGGAGTAGGTTATAAATTATAGTAATTAATATTGGAAAGTAAGAACTCAATATTTATTTTAAACCGCAAGTATGGTATTCCTTGGAAACTAATATAAAATGATTGTAAAAAGAATCATAAAAGATCCACCCCAAAACTAAATGTTATTTAAACAAAGTATACCTTTAAATACATGTGAAAATATTTTAAAATAATAATTTAAGTCATAACAATGTAAATAAAACAGGAGATGATATTATGTACTATGTGAGTTTGAGAGAGTTGTTAAGAATCAATTTTATAACAATTATTTATAAAAACTCTTATTTTATTCGATTTGCATTTGTACATACAACAATTTATGAATTTATACAAAAATTATTAAAAATAATATTGTTGGAAAATTGATTAGGACATATTGTGTTGACCACCTGTAACTCTGGTAAACCACGGAAGAACATTGAGCTTGGCAGGGTAGTTGCGCAACCACTTCCTTCCTTTAATGAGTTGTGAATTCGGATGGTTCTCGTCCCTCCAAATTCCAGAAGGCAAGTAAACATCTCGTGATGTAGCACCTTCAACAATGACCGGGGCAACAAGTATTTTTTCACCCAAAAGGAATTCTGCAAAATGTAAGTTAAAAATTGAATTTTTAACATTATTTAGAGCAAAATATAGTTTCTGAATTCTGGAGTTTATTTTCATACCGTCGTTAATTGTCTGTGCGACTTGGTCATTTGGGTCGATCCACCAGACTGGAGGATTCAGTGGACTACCCTTACTGACACTTCTTCTCATTAGATCGATAATGGTGTCTGTATAATTAGCACGGAGATTCAATAAATTTCTGCAAATATCTACAGTCTGTAAAAGCAAAAGTTTCAACGATAATATACATTATTTATGAGTAAATTTGTTTAATATCTAATTTTAAAACTTGTTAAACATAGTTACCTGTTGGTCGAAATCCCAAGGTGTGTACGAGAACTGTACGACAGGCATGAATACATTTGCTTGCATCCATCTAATGTACATCTCTTTGGAAGGGGGTAAGTTATCGTAACCATTTCCACCTACCATATCAGGTAACACAAACGGGTATCCGATCATATTCAATTGTATCAAAGATGTTATTAATGTGGGTAGTCCAAGTTCGAAATCCCATCGAGAATTACGATCCATCATTCTTAAAAGACGAC